ATTCAGACTGAAGATGTTGCTGAAAGATTTGACACAGTTGACCTCTGTGACCTTGAGACATGGTAGCCTATCATCCTAGAATACTATTGGTTATATCCAACAGTTGTTCAAACTGATGTAACAATAGACAGACAGACAGATAGATAGAAAGATTATAGACAGATATTGTCTGATAGACAGATCATGTATGACAGACAGATAATGTATGTGATGGTCATGAGCAGAGTAAGATTGCGTCCCTTACTTGTAGATGAAGTAAAACAAATGCTGAGCATAGAATATTTGCTATTGATAATTTTATTTTCTCTTTAGTTATTTTAGCCTTAACTTTATAAACCATTATATCTCTTATTCAATAAATTTCTTAGGGAAGGATTTGTTTGTTCCATAAAACTTGAAATCCAATGAGTGAACATAAAGTTGATTAATAAGAGAACCAATTTTATAGCTCCAGAAAATTTCAAAAGTTAATCAAAATTTATTCATAAAATATTACAGCATCAGCTATTTCAACAAAACCTGTGACTTTTCAGTCATGTTGGAACAAATCTAAGTGCTGTTATTATCATTGTTATACACCCAGATTGAGTGACAGCCCTGATCCCAGAAACAGGTTCTCTAAATCAAGTCTCTTTTTTTTATTTCAATTTCATGGAATGATGCATATAATGATGAATTCTGATGAAACCCTTCAAATTTCTCATCCTATCTATGCAGTGAAATTGAACGAGTGAATATTTGAATGGTCTGGTTTTATTTTTTCCCATCGGTGTCAAAAAAAATCAATAAAGTCTCTGTCTAACAAACGCTCAATCAGCAGTTTCAGAGCAGGATCATTTTAACAGGAGAAATGACAGCAATTTTTATCTAATTTAAAATGATGATGAGCAACACATGAAAAACCAACTTTAGGGATTTTTTATCACTGCCATCACAACAACATTTTTTTTTTCAGTTCTAGACATTTACAAGCAATATTCTCCAATCTAAAGACACAATTCAAAAACCTTTTCCATCAAGATTGTACACAGATAATATTCTCTCATACCAAAAGACAAAAGAAAGGAATTTTCAGAACTAGAATGTATAGATAGGTGAGATTTTTTTCTCTCGCACAAAAAGACAAAGAGTGTATAGACAGGTAAGATAAGAAAGGACTATTCAGGACTAGTGCTGGTTAGTTACTGAGGTTGATTTAAATTAAAGATCCTGTCCTTCATAGAATATTCATAGACTTTTTGCAGCTGCCATAACAAGAGGCTCAAGGGCCTTAACGGCACCTGAGTTACAAGGCTTCTTGTAAGACTTCTTGTAACATGTCACAGAAATAATCTTGTTAAAAAAGTAAGATAATTTAACTACATTGTACATTGTATATATATGAACTTTTTCATCCATAAATAGTATTTAATAGATTCTATCATTACTGGGTATTGACAAGATCTCTGAAATGGGAGCCAGTTTGGCCCCTTTCTACCCTACCCACCAGCCCATGGGGGTCAGCCACCATCAATATGTGTAAATAACCAAACAGTCATCTTATGCTTATAATTCTAACTAAGTTTGAACTATTTCCAATAGCAAGGAATTAAATCATGTTAAAAAATGTAATTTTCTATGTAAAACAGAGTAAACATTATCCCTCCCCAGATTGTGACCCTGGCTCAGAGTTTCCTCATTGATCTTGTAAGAATGGAATGAACTCTTTCCTGTGAAATCCAAACTGTACTGGCCATATATCTCTCTGTAACCTGTCTGTCAGCCATAACAATATATTGGACTTTATTGACAATTTCTAGGGTTGCAACAATGACAGGCCTTCCAGGAGGGGTGCCATCCCCAAGGCTCTGCCTGCCACACATAAATTCCGCCACCAATGTTTTCACTGCAGCATATGAAGGGGCATCATTCCCTAGTGTTGCTACCACATCAGTATGGATATCTTTAGGTGCTAGACCTTTCTTATGCCAATATTGAATCACTGCTCTATTAGGGATTTTGTCCATTTTACAAAAGTCACATGCTTTGTTTACTTTGAGTGCTACCTCTTCGACATAAACCAATCAAATGACACCAGTCTTGGGGTACACAGTCTTAAATAGCCAGGGAATAGTAGAGCTGAAAAAGGATACTTAACTTTTTCAATACAAGACTCACAATTTATCAATCAGCACTTGTACTTCATTTCAATACTTTCAGTTGTATGGAACTATTAAAAATAATCAACAGAAATTTAATGTGTTGATTATGTAACCATTGTATTTGTAAATGATGCCAAACCATACTAAAAACATCCACAGTAAAAGATGATCTTCATGAAAATATGAGTAAAACCGGTAGAATGGAGGTGATACTTGTTATTATAATATTTACATATATATACGATTGTGTGTCTTTCTATTTAAATATCTGGACACAGGGATAATGTCAGACTTTGCAGTATCTTGTTCTGTCTGCCATGTCCAATTCTAAAACCTTCCAGTCAATACGTAGGGCAGTATACACCAACAATGTCACTACCAACAAATAAGCAACACATTACAGTGTGTAATAGTATCAGATGTCACAACGTTCTGCAGCAGCTGTTGTTCCACAATCAATTAATACGACGAGATGTGGGCTGTAATCCTACATACCGAAATGTTCACATCGTTTTTTAAAAATGAATCCTATAAAATGTGTACAACACTTATGTTACTATAAATAACAAGAGGCCCCAGGATCTTTACCTTCATCTAAGTTACAACAATTTTTGTAACATGTCATAGAAATAATCTTCTTACAAAAAGTAAAATAACTTGAACTATGTTGTACACATAGTGCCAATGCTGACATTAACTGCCATCCCATGCCAAGGGTTCTAACCAAGTGTGAATTAAAAGATACAACACCCATATATCCATGAACACTATTTAATAGACTATCATATCTCGGTGTTGTCTGCCTTTTGGTTAGAAGTAAGAAACCATTTCAAGTATTTAACAAAATTGACCCTTGTGACCTTAAAAGTTTTTCAAGGTCATTTAAATCCATAAATTTGATAGTTAATGAAAAGAGCTCCACATATATGAAATATCATGGCTCTAGACCTTGCAGGACTTGAGAAGAAGTTTCAAAAGTTTGTAACAGAAAAAAGCAATTTCAAACTTTGTCCCCAACCAAAAACTGAAAGTTGAATTTTCAAACAAGGTTTTATAAATACAATCAATAGCAATTGATCAAAGCATGCTATTGACACAATGTCATCACTGTGTGATTCCTTGTTATTGGGAAAACCCTGTTTTAAAGATTTTAAAAATTGATATCTGTGACCTTTGAAGTGGGTCAATATCTTTTATACTATCAATTTAAGAGCTGATGACCTGAACATATAAGATATCTAGCTTCTTGGCTTTGTAGAATTTTAGAAGTTGGTTGAGAGTTTGTTTCACAAATCTTCCAATTTGAAATTTGACCCCTACCACAAACTGAAAGTTGATATTTTATGAAAAATTATTTCCCAAGAAGTATTATTTATATGTTATCTTTCATTACATATCCAAAGATTAATTTAACGTATTTTGTTGTTGACAATATATGGCGATTTCAGTTAAAATTGGATATGACATCATGGTGGTCATTCTGTTTTTCTGTCGAAACTGAAAATGCCACTAGATCGTCCTATACTTACAATTCTTACCATGTCTGATCTATTTCCAATAATAAAGATAATAATAATATGAAAAAAATTACAAATTATGTTCAAAAATGTGTTTTTCCTATAAAAACTGTTATAAAATCTAACCCCCTTCCCAGGGATCTCAAAATTTAGTTTTGGTAAAGCACATTAAAGCCTTTCATTTTATTAAAAGTATTTGATTCTACCTTAATTGGGTATTCAGAAGATTTTTAAAGCTTCAATCAATTTGATACTTTTTGGTCTCAAGCCCGTGGGGTAAGTACTAAATTACTTATAATCTTGATGCACCTATGGACACTGAAGGTGCAAAATTTCATTGAAATTGGATCAGGGGCTTTCCAGATGATGTCTAAAAAAATGTTTCTGTTGCACGACACTGGACAAAAGGCAATGGTAACTGGTCATGTGACTTTCTCTCAGGTGACCTAAAAAGTACATGTTATAAATGTTACGTCCAGTTGGTATTCAGAAAGCAAGCATTCAATTTTAATCTACACACATGCTACCCTGACAGACTTGATTGCAGAACTGAACTAAGTTAATTAATCAAATGCAACCACTAATGAATTTCAGATTGGCTAGCTGCTAATTAATGTTTCCACAGTTGGTAATGAGATTACTATAACTAATGCCAATTTCAGCCTGTTTTGGTCTCTTGTGGAATGCAGTAAGACAAAACATCAAAAAATGAATCTGCTATATTTACAAACAATAATTATGCATACATGATAAAGAAAGAAAAATAGATTAAACCAAAATCAAAATGAAACAAAAACACATTTTCGTGAGCCTGTGTACGCGTGTAAACACAGATGAAGATCTAATGATTGTAAATTAATCACTAAGGTCACCAAGTAGGCATATATTGCCCAAACAACAAGAACACCGTGGCCTACCAAAGAAATATTCATGATTAATTCTCTCAAAATCAATACAATAATGGAAATGGTAATACTGAGCCCAAATACCATGAGGACAACAGCTTTATAACTGTTTTGATGACAAATTAATGCAAACTTAATTTAAGTAGAGATGGCCTGAAAATTGAGAAATGAAATCTAAAACAACAAAGGGCAACAACCCTGAAATATTGTTGAATCCTATTATGCAGTGGAATAAGCAGATGTTTTATTAGTCCATCTTGCTTCAGCTTTAGCAGGTCATTGCTGCTGTTTGTAAACAAATCTAAAATGCGTGAATAGACAGTTATGGATGATAGCCTTGTTATAAGCCCCAACTTCTCCTTTCATTAGTCAATGATTGTGCATGGCACCTGAAGACTTATTACAGGATATGTTATAAAATAGCAAAGGTAACTTACCGGAATTACCAGTGAAATATCCAGAAAGTCTCCTGATGTATACTGTCACATCTCAAACTCCTCTTCAATCAAGTCCCAGTGACTCTTGTCTAATGACCATGATACATCTCAGGATTACATTACAACTCTGAAACACCATTCAAATTCAACATCAATACAAATAACAACAGGAATTTAATTTACTATCGATACGGATCGTCAACAACACCGACATATATCATCAGCAAACAAAACTTCACACTCCACATGACAAATACTGTACACATCCCATCATCAATACTGTACACACCCCACCATCAATACTGTACACACCCCACCATCAATACTGTACACACCCCACCATCAATACTGTACACATCCCATCATCAATACTGTACACACCCCACCATCAATACTGTACACATCCCGTCATCCATACTTTACACTCCCCGTTACCAATAAATTACACTCCCCGTCATTCATACTTTACACTCCCCATTACAGTCGCTCCCCATCATCAATACTTTACACTTCCCATCAGTACTTTACACTCCCAATCAGTACTTTACACTCCTCATCAGTACTTTACACTCCTCATCAGTACTTTACACTCCTCATCAGTACTTTACACTTTCCATCAGTACTTGACACACTCTGTCAACCATACTTTACACTCTCCGTCAATACTGTACACACCCCATCATCAATACTGTACACATCCCACCATCAATACTGTACACACCCCACCATCAATACTGTACACACCCCACCATCAACACTGTACACACCCCATTATCAATACTGTACACATCCCATCATCATAACTGTACATACCCCACCATCAATACTGTACACATCCCGTCATCCATACTTTACACTCCCCGTTACCAATAAATTACACTCCCCGCCATTCATACTTTACACTCCCCATTACAGTACACTCCCCATTATCAATACTTTACACTTCCCATCAGTACTTTACACTCCCAATCAGTACTTTACACTCCTCATCAGTACTTTACACTTTCCATCAGTACTTGACACACCCCGTCAACCATACTTTACACTCTCCGTCAATACTTTATAGACCCTATCAGTACTTTACACTTCTCATCAGTACTTTACACTCCTCATCAGTACTTTACACTCCTCATCAGTACTTTACACTTTCCATCAGTACTTGACACATCCCATCAACCATACTTTACACACCCCATCAGTACTTGACACACCCCATCAGTACTTTACACACCCCATCAGTACTTACACACCCCATCAACCATACTTTACACACTCCATCAACCATACTTTACACACCCCATCAACCATACTTTACACACTCCATCAACCATACTTTACACACCCCATCAACCATACTTTACACACCCCATCATCAATACCAAACATCTTCCTACATTTTACATTACTGTTCCTCATGATTGTTATTTGACTGTAAGTACTAGCCCTCTTCACTTAGAATCTACTACCAGCTAAGCCACAGGGCAACATTACAAGGAAATCAACACATCAAGCAGAAATGTAATCAGCAAATTGGTTAATTTCATCACAAACAGTATGTAGAGTTTTAGTTTTCAAATAACTGTATAATTTTAATTGTATGAATTTTAAGTGTCGCTAATCGTTTAACTTGTTTTCATAACAAAAACACTTCCACAAAGTACCGATCATGACAGTTTGACATAACCTATCCACTCTGGTTCATTTTGACCCTAATAATCATCAGGTTCATAGAGCCTCTCCAGTCACGCTTGGCTACCCACACCCTGATTGTGGTAGCCATGACAGCAGATGGAAAGCTGGCTAATTGTATCTGGGGGTGTTTTTTCCTGACAATTTATAATCTTTTTGGATAAGACAGACGGATCGAGTTTAAAAGAAAAACAGTTACAGGCCAGGATGTGTGTGGTTTAGTTCTAGAATAAGGAGGACTGCAGCAATGTTTTCGTGTTGGGTTTTCACCAAAAAAGCTTAAAACCAGACAACAAAATGATAATGACCTGCTGTTCATCAGGAAAACCTAATGGACACTACAGATCTGGATCAAGGCAAGTTGTTCCTAGTCTCTCCAGAAATAAAGTACTAGTGGTGAAGCAGGTAAACAGTTAGAGTTAGGGTTACACCATGTTGTATGTCAATTTAGGCCTACTCATACCCATTTCATTGGACTTGACTGCTAAAAGTTTTGCCTAATAAACTTCTCCAACCTGGAGGAACCAATGCCAATAGGACTACAGATCTAGACTTCAATCAAGCACTAATTTCTAGCGTGCAAAATTTGAAATTCTGAGTTTGATCATGATATGAGAAATCTTCTATATAAAACTGCATTCCTCATAGGAAAAGACTTTCATCATGAGGTTTGGAGGAGTTCAATGTTGCAGGTGGTTGTTTATAAGGGAAACCAATTAAATAGTGCATGCCAGTTAGAGGTATAAACTGTGATCTGTGACTACTCTAACTTCACATTTGGCTCTGAAGGGTAAACATATATGTGGGGCAGCCTCCTACTTTAAGACAAACGTTCCTCTATTTTCTAAATTGTGACACTTACTTCATTATACCCGACATCTTGGAAGGTAACTGTGCCAGATACAATTTGACCCTGATGTACCTGATAATAGATCTTCACTTTATAACTGGGCTTTCCCTGACCTGTCCAGTGACAGCAGTGATATAGTGACAGACTTTCATTATGAACCACATTAAAAATTACAAGTAAACTAGCACTTTAATTTAATGGCAAAAATAATAATAATAAAAAAGAACAGAAGAAACCCATTTGAAAGAAATATACACACATGAGATAAATGGTAACTGTATATTCTTGGAAATTAACATAACGAAAAAATGACCACATCACATGATTCACAGCAAACACAGATGTAGCTACTGTATGAGAGTACAAATATTGACGACCCCATTATTGGTAACATGTCAGATAAGATAGGAGATATGTGCAATTGCTGTGCAAACATACATTGGGTGGTTACGTTTTATAGATAATGATTTCATCAGTCAAATGACATTTATGTAAAATCAAAAAAAGAAAATGTTCTTTTATCAAAATATCAGAAGTGCTTGTAGCCTGTCATTTCGTGTGCTTACCCTCTCGAAATCGACGGAAGTAAATAATGTTAATTGTCGTTGTCACTAAAGAAAACATCAGAGAGCATCCGAATGAATTCTGACTCAGACAATCTGTATCAGCTATGCGTTTTATCTCTAGGTCTGGTTACCTTTACACTCCAAGAAAGAGTTCGACGGCGCCTAACTTTTTTCTGAGCGGCTTAAGGCCTTCCCAAAGAAAAGGGTTTTCCATCGTAAGTTGGTATTTTTGATTCTACAAATTGAGAAATATTGTACAATGTAACGGAGCCCATGATATTGTAAACTTGCCCGATTTCTTTTGCTAATCACCCGTACCTGGATTTTTTTTACCGATTCATTTTCACACCAGGGAATTCATCCGGCTAGTTTCTTACTTAAATAGCTAGAAATGCAGTATCAATGTTAATATTCGTCCAGTAATCAATTTATATTGATCTTTTGTTTGATTCATGCACGGACCGTTATGTATTTTGGAACGGTTAATCGTCAAGGCGTATTACATGCACTATTGACCTGCCTGAGCTCGCACCAGGGTAATTTTGGTTGTTGTAAGTTGTCACACTTCCTCAAAGAATAAAGCAAATGATTAAATCCATTCATCATAAAATATTCTGTGTTCATATTTCATTGGCATATTTGTGTATTTTTCTTAAAACACATTTTCACATGCGAGATATACTTTCAGATATGATGAAATAACCAATAAATCCATCCTCAATGCCAGTGTTTTGTTGTCTTCTGCTAAATGAATAAAAATTGACTATGAATAATAGGCCACACCTTCTTGCAATTTTTTGGCTACAAAAGTCCAAACATGCACATGGGATTTTTTTTTTTAAATTATCACTTCTGGTGACTCATTTCTGATTTTAAGTAACTAGCGAATACACAGGGTTAATGTCAACAACTCTGCCATACCTGGTCATGATTATGCTGTGCACATTGCAAAAATGAATCTAGTGAGTTGGTAAAATGAATGTTTATTTTTGTCATAAGACACCATTGCCGGTGAGTTTTGTCATTGCAATTTTTGGTACTTCCATCCCTTGATGGTGAAAATGACATTTCCTGAATTCCTAATTGAAACTCCTCATATTTCACTTGCTACCAAAACATAATTCACATTCATTTAGGGTTATACATTGTTTGCATGTAAACATCATGCTGAAAGCTGTGGCCATCTGCATCAAAAGGATTCTTATCTGCAGATGACACAATGAGTGAATGACGCCATATTGGATGGATTCGCTATAGAGTTTGTTTCTAGATAACGAGTATATGTTGATACTGAAAATGTGTAACAATGAAATTACAAAAAATTGATTGAAATTGACCAAATATTGTAAAAAAATTCAATTCAGTGACTTACATTATTTGTCATCCATTTTTTGATCTGCACAAAAGAAATGTGACCAGAACTTACCTGGATGTTTACAGTTGCCCTATATATGTATATACAGATTTATTGGTGCTCCAATATCTGACCAATACAACCAAATACTACCCAATACATGTGTTTATTTACCCAATACTACCCAATACAAGTGTTGATTTACCCAATACTACCCAATACAAGTGTTGATTTACCCAATACTACCCAATACATGTGTTTATTTACCCAATACTACCCAATACAAGTGTTGATTTACCCAATACTACCCAATACAAGTGTTGATTTACCCAATACTACACAATACAAGTGTTGATTTACCCAATACTACACAATGCAAGTGTTGATTTACCCAATACTACACAATACAAGTGTTGATTTACCCAATACTACACAATGCAAGTGTTGATTTACCCAATACTACACAATGCAAGTGTTGATTTACCCAATACTACCCAATACATGTGTTGATTTACCCAATACTACCCAATACAAGTGTTGATTTACCCAATACTACACAATACAAGTGTTGATTTACCCAATACTACACAATACAAGTGTTGATTTACCCAATACTACACAATACAAGTGTTGATTTACTCAATACTACCCAATCCAAGTGTTGATTTACCCAATACTACACAATACAAGTGTTGATTTACTCAATACTACCCAATACAAGTGTTGATTTACCCAATACAAGTGTTGATTTACCCAATACTACCCAATACAAGTGTTGATTTACCCAATACTACCCAATACAAGTGTTGATTTACCCAATACAAGTGTTGATTTACCCAATACTACCCAATACAAGTGTTGATTTACCCAATACAACCCAATACAAGTGTTGATTTACCCAACACAACCCAATACAAGTGTTGGTTTACCCAATACTACCCAATACAAGTGTTGATTTACCCAATACAACCCAATACAAGTGTTGATTTACCCAATACAAGTGTTGATTTACCCAATACTACCCAATACAAGTGTTGATTTACCCAATACAAGTGTTGATTTACCCAATACTACCCAATACAAGTGTTGATTTACCCAATACTACACAATACATGTGTTGATTTACCCAATACTACCCAATACAAGTGTTGATTTACCCAATACTACCCAATACATGTGTTGATTTACCCAATACTACCCAATACAAGTGTTGATTTACCCAATACTACACAATACAAGTGTTGATTTACCCAATACTACACAATACAAGTGTTGATTTACCCAATACTACCCAATACAAGTGTTGATTTACCCAATACTACACAATACAAGTGTTGATTTACCCAATACTACCCAATACAAGTGTTGATTTACCCAATACTACCCAATACAAGTGTTGATTTACCCAATACTACCCAATACATGTGTTGATTTACCCAATACTACCCAATACAAGTGTTGATTTACCCAATACAAGTGTTGATTTACCCAATACTACCCAATACAAGTGTTGATTTACCCAATACTACACAATACAAGTGTTGATTTACCCAATACTACCCAATACAAGTGTTGATTTACCCAATACTACCCAATACATGTGTTGATTTACCCAATACTACCCAATACAAGTGTTGATTTACCCAATACAAGTGTTGATTTACCCAATACTACCCAATACAAGTGTTGATTTACCCAATACTACCCAATACAAGTGTTGATTTACCCAATACTACCCAATACAAGTGTTGATTTACCCAATACTACACAATACTACCGAGTACAACTGATATAAACCAAATAACTAATTAATTAATTTCAGAATGTTGGACATTAATCAGTGCAAAATCTGAACAAACATAGACATACATGTTACTGCCTTATTGTACAACTTCTATTCTTATAGTTCTTTCAAAAACGATGTATAAATTCTGGCTTTACACTTTGTTTTTGAGATAAATGGAATGATTCTACGATACATATCTAAGCATAACTTAATTATAACAACTTTATTACAATTTACACTTATACATTTTTACCATATATATATCATTTTGAAGATTTTTATGCTGTACACATGCATATTTTAGTGGTAGTTTTATTTCACACTGAATATTGCTTTGAAATATTTTGGTGATAATTATGGTTTTAGATGTTCTTTGTACAGCAATAATTATAGATGTGCTATTCTTTGTACAGCAATAATTATGGATGTGCTATTCTTTGTATAGCAATAATTATGGATGTGCTATTCTTTGTATAGCAATAATTATGGATGTGCTATTCTTTGTATAGCAATAATTATGGATGTGCTATTCTTTGTACAGCAATAATTATAGATGTGTATTCTTTGTATAGCAATAATTATGGATGTGTATTCTTTGTATAGCAATAATTATGGATGTGTATTCTTTGTATAGCAATAATTATGGATGTGCTATTCTTTGTATAGCAATAATTATGAATGTGTATTCTTTGTACAGCAATAATTATGGATGTGCTATTCTTTGTATAGCAATAATTATGGATGTGCTATTCTTTGTATAGCAATAATTATGGATGTTCTATTCTTTGTACAGCAATAATTATGGATGTGTATTCTTTGTATAGCAATAATTATGGATGTGTATTCTTTGTATAGCAATAATTATGGATGTGTATTCTTTGTATAGCAATAATTATGGATATGCTATTCTTTGTACAGCAATAATTATGAATGTGTATTCTTTGTACAGCAATAATTATGGATGTTCTATTCTTTGTACAGCAATAATTATGAATGTGTATTCTTTGTACAGCAATAATTATGGATGTGCTATTCTTTGTACAGCAATAATTATAGATGTGCTATTCTTTGTATAGCAATAATTATGGATGTTCTATTCTTTGTACAGCAATAATTATGAATGTGTATTCTTTGTACAGCAATAATTATGGATGTTCTATTCTTTGTACAGCAATAATTATAGATGTGCTATTCTTTGTATAGCAATAATTATGGATGTGCTATTTCATCACTGCACTAATTTATAAGTATTTTACATTATACATTTATATTAACAAATATTATGTCATTTTATGTCATATAACATCCTATCATGGAGGACAAATTTTACCAAAGATGATTCTGATAAATTCATGTAGTTTTTTTTTATGTAATTTACATTGTTTAAATTTTGATGCCTGTGACCTAACATAACAATCTTTATTTAGGTATTTTTGATGTGCTTGAAACACACTAGATACAACTACTTAGGGAATTTTTTTGGTTATGCAACAAGTCATGGTGGGAATTAACTTAAACTTGTAGTCTGTATTATGAATTCGTATCCTTTCAAGCTTGGTTTACTTTGGTAAACTGCGATCACCTTTATGCTGGGTCAGATAAATCTAATATTCATGATCAGAATTAACTGCTTCACAGTTTCCAGATTAAGGGTGAAGGATCATTGTAGTTGAAGATCTGTATAAATGTAGCTGATCATAACCAATAAGAATCTTAACTTGTTAGATAGAAGTTAGATTGAAATGGAATTCAATGTTAATCTGATGCTACATTTAATGAAAGGATCTCATCAGAGACATATATACATCAGATGTGGACAATATAGCATTCACCAATACACTGCTATATCTTTTCAGAAATATATATTGTTGCGACTATTTTTGTTGCTAAGGCAGAGGAATACTCTACTCTGTACTTCTTTACCACAAATCGGGATTGCTGGTGATTTGATTTCAAAGGACAATCAATCATTCAGTTATTTATATCAGTCTTATGCATGCTAATTATCTCAATTTAATCAATGAAAATTATTTTGCATTGGTGTGGGAAATCCGAACATTTAAACAATCTATTGTGATCAGTTATTAGCTAGAAATAACCACTGTTGTAAATTTTGCAAGTAATATCATAGTTTCTGTCCCTTTTAGCAAACATCACCTGTCGATCAATGGTAAAGTGTGGGACTGGTTCACATCACACATGGCCATAACCATACCAAATAACATATCAATCACACGTACACTCACTCGCGAGCATCATGTCATGTAATTATAGTTTTCTCATCACATAATCACACTGTGTCACTCAATGAAACAGGTGTGTCACAATGATTTTCATCAGCTTCACAAAAGACATAATTGTTTATTATAAAAAAAACATGTTGGCTAGCTTGAAGATTGGAAAAAAGAGCTATATATAGCTCATTTTTGAGTTATATGTAATTCTGGATATAATCATTAGACAATCATTATATTAAGCTAGTCTAGAAGAATAGGCCTATACCTTAAATTTTAGGAATGAAACTCAGAAAAAAGTAGTTAATTTTCATCAAAATCATTATTTAATTAAAAATGAAAGAAAACAAGCATTTGCATGGACACAAGAAACATTTTTATATTTATATTTTATATTGTGTATTTCTATAATAGGCAGATTGTACTACTGGAGTAAAAAAAATAAATATAGAAATGTTAGGTCGTAAAAATATTACTTTATCTAAAGTAAAATCAACTTTGATACAAAATGTAGATGAAATATTTCTTCATTTATTTTAAAGTCAAAGTCTCAATCCTCATCAATATGCCCGCCTTCTTCTGTTTGTAATCATTATTGTTTTATATGAAATATCATAATTTTAAGTACTTTTTTAATTTAAATGTAAATCCTAGTTCAAATATGTGTCTAGTATAGTTTTCCAATTCATTGTAATTTGAAGGAAGTCTTTGTTCATTACAGTAATTATAATAATGGATAAGATCACAGATTAACAGATTCTGTTTTCTTTTCTTATAGGATGAAAAATATCCTGAAAACAACTTGGTATGGTTGGAAGTCATGTGGGATCACCTGTGAAATAGGAAGCCATTTGAAGGGAGTCTTTGTTCATTACAAGAATTATAACTATGGAGAACATCCCAGATGATTCTACAGATAAGTATAAAAAGGATTTATCAGAGCAGCAATCAAAACCTCACAAACCTGCAGTTTCATTGACTGACATTCCAGAGGAAAGAAATGGCCAAGACCTTGAGCATAGTCTCAATGAAGAGAAAATAAAAGATGAAAGTAGAAATCTAATTGATAAAGACAACACAAGGTCCAAGGGAGATAACTTAACAAGGAGTACAGAGATAATATCCATTGAACCTGTCGAAAAAGAAATGGAATGTCTTCCTTCTTCAAAAAATGAAAATGATATGGAGACAAGTGAGATTATCAGCAAGAACAGCGGTCCACATGTTGCCTTATTTTCTGTGATTTGCATCCCTGCAGCCTTTGTAGCCTCACTCTGTGTGGCGTTCTACTATGGAGCTTCATCATGGTACAATTTGTATCTCTACTTCAGTGAAGAAAAAACCATTTGGCACAAGGTTACAATTTGTCCTGTTTTGATATTAACATTTCCATTTACTGTGGGTTTGTCTTCCATTGGCGTTGCTGTTTTTGCAGCCTTTGTACAGCTTTCTTGGTTCTATCTGAGCTGGCATGCAGAGTTTTTGGACTTTGAAAAAGGTTTTTATGGCTGGTTGTGCAATAAGATGGGGCTGCCACAGTGTTGTCCTTATGAGTTGATTATTCTTAACAACGAATCAGAACTAGAACCTATGAGGACCGCTTTGTGATTGGAAAATATAAATTTCAATATTTTGTCTGATCACATATTTATTACATACTTTTTTTTAGAACAATAGTTTAAACCAAAAGATGTTTAGAGTTGGCTGTGAATTCATGAGTAAGGAGCCGTCATATATGGTTTCAGGGCTTTTTTTAGAGACACAATGGGGCCGAATATGTGCCTCTTTCCCAATTGGATTTACATGTATTTCATATTATGATCAAATTAACAAAATATATAATTAACTACTAAAAAATGATTGATTTTAATCCCAGAATGAGATAAAAGTTCAATATCCCAAATCAGTTGAAAAAAAACCTTGAGTTGAATGACACTTGCCACTGAAATTTGTCGGTAATGAAAGCCCTTATCAGTAACTGGAAAAGTGAACAAAACTTGGGAATGTTAAGAAATAATCAAAAATCAAAATTATGATTAAAAAAATGGTGAAGTATATCTCAGCCTTTCATTAATCATTCTATTATACATTTCAAGACTTTGTCAAGCTAAAGGTTTTATCCTGGAACTGGGAAGTATCCATTAGAACACATGTAAACACCACTCAGAGTCATCATTATTGAAAATGTGATCTATTTTTGATCTATCAGGGTAACTTGTTTTTAATGACAAAATTTTTTGTCAAAATATTTCCTTTTTTTATTTTTTCCTCATTGACTATTTCTTCTGTAACAAAAATGAATATTTACGGTGTACAGCTTGTTTTAATGTCAGGTCTTTGTACTGTACTAGATTCTACAATTATATCAGTATATATGATAAGTATTTATAGTGTTCCATATGTATATTTTACTGGTGCGTTTATATATCTGACCTAATTAACACACCATTTGCTCATTAAAACTGTGAGAGGGTAGTTGGATGAAATAAAGCTGTTTACATGTAAAGTGTCATTATGAAATCTGTCGAGACATGAAACTTTGGTAACAGAAAACACAATGTGAATTTGAAATAAAAATGTTCAATTCCATCCATATAACTGCTAGTAAAAAGTAACTGGAAATTTTGGAATTAAAAAGATACAAAGCTGAATTCAACATTGGTAGGTCAATGAAGCAATCAAACAAATATTTTCACATCTTTTATTAAAATTCTTCTGTTGAATGCAGTAAGACAAGGTTTCCAATATATAATCTCAGTTTTGTTTTTCATAGAAAGATGGACTATTATTGGATAGTCCTTAATAACACATCAATTGATAGAAATCAATTTTTATGACCCCCCAAAATTTCCGGAGGAGCATATAGTCGTTGCCATGTCCGTCCCTAAACTAGGATAATGAAACTTAGTGAATACATTGATCATGACAATGTGCAGTGTACCAAGTTCAGGGCCCTTGACCCCTCAATTTACAGAGTTATTGCCCTTTGTTAAAATATGTTTTCCAGAATTTAACTTTGCTTACATTTTAGGTAGGAAAGTTGGTGTATACATTGATCATACCAAGGCAATGTGCTTTGTACCAAATTCAGGGCCCTTTGTTAAAATTTTGTTTCTAATAATGTTGCTTTTGGGGAGCTTTCATCAGTTTCACTGGTACGCTTGTTAAATATTGATATCAAATTAATTTGCATAGAATGAATTATTTTCTAGATCTTGCTACATATGTACCTATATATTATCATTAAAACAATTAAATGATATGTCAGAAGTAAGGGTGGGTATTATTACAGTATTCATATTGATAGGATATTGTGATGTACATACAGCACAATATATTGTATCTTGATATACTTAATTTATGTTGTGTAGAACAAACGTGTACATAGAACTAGCTTAATTTAATGCAGTGATACATTGAACAACATATAATTTTGAAGAAAGATAACAACATACAAGATTAGAAACACATGAAACAAGCTGAATTTGGGTTTCAATAAAAGTTTCTCTGCAAATGATCTGAAGTTATGCTGTTTAATCCCACAAACAGTTGTAACAAGTTAATACCATAAGTACTGCAATACTGAAAATAATATTGTAATATGTTGTCACTAGACCCACCCCTACATAGGAGACTTTAAGTAATGACATACCAGGTAGTAATAGGTAAGCAACATGTATAGTATTTAAGTGCACTTGAAAGGAGATTTATCACAAATAGATTTTTTTAAATGACATCCCCATGAAACTATTTTTTCCCAATATATATCAATATTTTATATTTATTTGACTGAAAATTGATGCATTGTATCAGAACTATTAATTTTTAAAATATTCATACAATGTACATAGGTACACATCTTTTAGCATTTACAGGTGAATCCATTGTCTTGTACATGTATAACTCAGAGACCCCGTTGAATCGGAAGTATTTGGTCTGTCCAAGCCAAACTGTTCACCAAACATTTGATCTCACTTAAGTAGAATACTTAGATAACTTGAAAGTTTTCCAACAGTCCTGCCACCTTCGAAATTGACTGTAACATAAATTTTTGGAATAATGGGATTTTTGATGTTCCCATCATAAGATCTTTAGACATTTTTCATATTATTTGCTCATAGGGAGTCAGTAAAAGTACAAAAAATCAAAAGTAAAACATATAGATAAACAATAGCAGAATACAAGGACCAATTATAACTGAGAAATGCAATGCATTGAATTGATAAAGTTTTCGATCTTTCTAGGTGTAAGTTCTTAAGCTCAGGTTTATATATTGATGATTTGTTTTATTTATTTTTTAATACAACTTTATCATTGTAGACTTCTTCAAATTAAGGCAAAATTATTTTAAATTGCTGAGTTTTGATAATCTTGATCAACAAATAATCCCTATAACTCATTAACTCATTGATAATTGTCAAGAGTAAACAGGTTGTCATTTATCTAATTACACTGTTAAATCATTTTATTTGTACAAATAAGTAACATGGCATGATATCATTCTTGTATTTTTTTTATTTAAATGGTTAAGATTTTACCGTTTAACCAAAACTTTGAAGCATTTTTTCATGGTGTCATGCAGCTGACGATTTTTTTAACTTACAATTTTATTTTCAATGTATATAACTTTTTGCACGTTCATTCTTTCCCCGAAAAAAGAAAAAGTCAAACCTCATCAAAATAATTTGATATGGTATGAAATGTTTGCTTATGTATAAGGAATGTGATATTTTAAAATTTGCTGGTGATGTATACATTTCTATAAACACATTATAATAAAAGTCCTATAAATGTTTATACTGTTGTCGTGTTTATATCACACGTATCTGATGCATTGTTATATTATATACTGCCTTATAATAATCTGCTTTGAATTTTTGTAATTAAGGTTGTCAAACCGGTGCTGATTTTTCTCATGCTGTGCAATATGAAAATGTGTTGTTTTTTTTAATCCATCAACCATATGAAATATATATAGTTTAACACTACACATGTTTATAAATATGCCATTCTCTTGCTTCCATGCTATGTTATAAAAATGGATTAATTTATTGAATACCATATATTTTGTAAGCTATTACATTGTACAATTCTTTTTCATTTTTTTGTAAATCACATTTCATATGTACAAATTCATGTTTGATATATGACATTTCTGTTCTTTCTTAATGATAATAGAAAATTTCTTACTGGTTGATTTTACAATTGTAAGGGATTTTCAATTTAAACTTATCATATCATCATCAGATGTCATATACGACTTCTTGTGACATCATAAAGTTAGGACATCACAAACTACAGGACTTTTGGATGTTTGATCCTTAACTTATGAATATTCATTAGGTGAGCTTATGCCGTGGTATGATGACCATTGTCTGTCTGATGTCAAATTTTTCCTCTAAAAACTTATTCTCAATGGACCAAATATTTTGATATTTAGCTGTTATGTTCTAAGATGAAGCCTGACAAAGTTTGGAAAAGAAATTACCTTGATCTATGTTCAAGGTCACAGGGGGTCAGATTTGTTCAAACATTTAAACAACATCTTCTTATGAACTAAAAGGCCTAAAGCCATGATATTTGGCTGTATGAAGAAGCATGATATTTGATGGAAAGGTAGTTTTAGGCCAAAGCTGATATTATGCCTGATGTATGCTTGTAGTTAGGGCTACCAAGTTTGTTAATGTAAATGACCTTAACCTGCTTTCAAGGTCACTGGGGTGAAATATGTGTGAATCTTTAAAAAACTTCTTTTCAATAACCAAATGGCCTAAGGTGCTGATATCATGCAAGATGTATGCTTGTAGTTAGAGCTACCAAGATTTTTAATGTAAATGACCTTGACCTACTTTTAAGGTCACAGGTGTCAAATGTGTTGAAATGCATATGCAACTTCTTCTCAATAACCTAAAGGCCACATTTCTTGATATTTGGCCTGTAGCACGGTTTTTCAACAAGTAATATGTCCAGAATAATGGCATTTGTGTAGTGCATGTATCAAGAATATGTTTTCAAGTTTGCAGAAAATGTCTTTATGATTCAACCAATATCTTCTATGTTAGCTGTAGTGTAGTTAAGCAATTTATTTTAGGCCTATATAGTCCACTTCCGTATATAGGCGTTTATAGTGAGATGACCCTTAAGGCCTATTATCCCCATTGTCAAATGTTGTACTTTTTTTTATCTTGCAAATGGTGCTGCTGTTGGTAGAATGTACCTGCATCATACATTTTTGCTGTAATTTTTACTGATGGAAAACGGCTTTCATTGAGCACATGCATTAATTTGACTAAAATTTTACACAACTGCTTCATTGATTGAGTTTTTTTTGGTGTAAAAAACAAGTTTATTGAGGGAAATTCATGAAATTACTGTTGTAACAATTGAAGTTTGGAACTATATCTCCATTTGGAGCAATTTTGATGTACATAATCAAGCAAACTTAAGTGTTGAATAGAAGTTCTTATTACACACCCAGTGGAAGGTTGGTCGACTCCTTACAATCTCAAATACTACATTCATCAGTCCTAAATCACTTCACATAAGTCATTTTTCTGATGAAACGGACTGTGTAGTCATCAAAACTTCACATTAAAATCTTCAGTTGGTTGTGCTAAAAGAACTTAATTCTATTGACATAACCAACCTGAAGAAAATAAAAACATCGATTTAGCATCAATGACAAGTAAGCAAAGATCGATCGACACACTGTTGTAGTCTGAATTTTCATTAAGTGTGCTTGTTCATGATTAGCATCTTATAAACTATATGTTGGACATATGTTAGAAAAAAGTAGTTTGTCTTTGTTTTTTTGCCCTTTAAATGCTTTGAAGGTACATGGATGTTAAAAGTAATTTTAATTAGCTTGAGTACAGTGATATTTAAAGTGGATATGATATTGATCAATTGAAGGTGTTAATGTTACAATGAATTTATTCAAAATAACATTTACTCTCCAAGTTGTTTATCTTTTTTTATCATTTTAAAACATATATCTATATATATATACGCTTTTGTATCAACATCATGTATACATTTAATGTGCAAGTGTATTTT